TTCGTGTGTTGTAACAAGGCCGCCTCGTGTGTTGTAACAAGGCCGCCTCGTGTGTTGTAACAAGGCCGCCTCGTGTGTTGTAACAAGGCCGCCTCGTGTGTTGTAACAAGGCCACCTCGTGTGTTGTAACAAGGCCGCTTCGTGTGTTGTAACAAGGCCGCTTCGTGTGTTGTAACAAAGCCGCTTCGTGTGTTGTAACAAAGCCGCTTGGTGTGTTGTAATAGTGTTGCCGCATGCGATACAACAGGACCGCCTCAATATTCTGGTCGTTTATAACTCATACATCCATCAATAATTAAGATACAGTAAACAGACTGGTTGCTCCCCCCGCCCCCCGCCAGATGGTCCATCAACACCACCTGTCTATACTTACGCAGGATAACGACACCACCTGGCTCTCCTTGGAGGTTGAGGCACCAGCTGTCTCTCCCCCGTGTTGGTAAAAATATCAGCTGTCTCTCCCTCGTGAATGGAGATACCAGCTGCCTCTACCTGTGATAGGCTAAGGCCTCCACCTGCTTCTATACCTCCATAGGACTAAGTCGTGGGTGAGGACCTTCTGTAATCCCGTGGGGGCATAACAACATAGACTTCGACCTACAGTACATTGTCCCGTCTCCAGTGTCTTGCCTGTGTTATCTTCCCCGTGTTATCTTTCCTATATTATATTCCTCATGTTATCTTCTCCATATTAATCAAAACATATTATACTCCTTATATTTTACCCCTATGTTATACTCCACATATTGTCTTTCCCATCTAAATATATTTTATCATATCACGCTTGACCAGTATATCAGGTGGCTGTCCTCGTGTATATATTTATTTTTAGTTTACCTGTTTATCCAGAGGGCAATTTGGATACCTGGAAATTAATTATCACTTCAGGTACAATATCGAAAACTTTTAACATATAATTCAATAAAATGTCCACCAGCCGTTGTACTAATTGTTAAATATTGTTATTTTCACTATTATTTTAGTTACATAGACTTAAACCTTTAAGGGCGGTGGCGTAACCCTTTGATGGTGGTATTTATTGTAGCTTGTAATTATTTTGGTCTTGTGTGAGTTAGATGTAATGAAGATAATAGTAATATAATGTTACTTTTATTACTACTACTGCTAATAATAATAGTAATAATAAAAAAATAATAATGTAAATTAAAATAAATAATAATGATAATATTGACTAGGCTTCTTTGACCTCTGACCTTTTAATAATTGCCCCAGGTCTCGTAAGCTAAGATACTAAGACAAACTCTTTATGCCTTGAGCGATACTTCAAGCGTAATGAATTCTCTGTGAAGGTCGACTTTAATGGTTGATAGTTCAGACCTTTGTTGATAAACGTCTCCTGCACACACACAAGGGCACGCCATTAACGCCTCTACATACATACATACATACATACATACATACATACATACATACGCTATTAACGTCTCCTATACATACACACTATTAACGTCTCCTATACACACACACACACTATTAACGTCTCCTATACACACACACACACTATTAACGTCTCCTATACACACAAACACTATTAACGTCTCCTATACACACACACTATTAACGTCTCCTAGTCACACACACTATTAACGTCTCCTATACACACGCACTATTAACGTCTCCTATACACACACACTATTAACGTCTCCTATACACACATACACTATTAACGTCTCCTATCACACACACTATTAACGTCTCCTACGCACTATTAACGTCTCCTATACACACACACTATTAACGTCTCCTATACACACACACTATTAACGTCTCCTATACACGCACTATTAACGTCTCCTAGTCACACACACACTATTAACGTCTCCTATACTAATAACGTCTCCTATACACACACACACTATTAACGTCTCCTATACACACACACACACACTATTAACGTCTCCTAGTCACACACACACACTATTAACGTCTCCTAGTCACACAATACTATTAATGTCTCTATACACACGCACTATTAACGTCTCCTATACACACACACTATTAACGTCTCCTATACACACACACTATTAACGTCTCCTATACACACATACACCATTAACGTCTCTATACACACACTAACGTCTCCTATACACACGCACTATTAACGTTCCTATACACACGCACTATTAACGTCTTTATACACACACATCTATTAACGTCTCCATACACACACACACTATTAACGTCTCCTAGTCACACACACTATTAACGTCTCCTATACACACACACACTATTAACGTCTCCTAGTCACACACACACTATTAACGTCTCCTATACACACGCACTATTAACGTCTCCTATACACACACACACACTATTAACGTCTCCTATACACACACACACTATTAACGTCTCCTATACATACACATACCACCTCATACAACAACCATAACACGTTTGAACTTCTTAAACAATTCTCTATGTTTGAAATCTTCCACGAGCAGCTACCGTCATGTTGCGTCGTAAACACAACCTCGAGGACATTGCTTTACCGCAGCCAAGAGAGAGAGTGGGTTTTTTTTTCCTTTTTTCCTCTTCTCGTAAGTAATTTGTTTGCGTTTCCCAGGCTAATGTATTCCAGGGGGTGTGTGTTGTATGTTTCCAGGGGGTGTGTTGTATGTTTCCAGGGGTATGTTGTATGTTTCCAGGGGGTGTGTTGTATGTTCAGGGTGTGTTGTATGTTTCAGGGGTGTGTTGTATGGGGTGTGTTGTATGTTTCAGAGGTGTGTTGGTTTCAGTGTTGTATGTTTCCAGGGGTGTGTTGTGTTTTCAGGGGGTGTGTTGTATGTTTCAGGGGTGTGTTGTATGTTTCCAGGGGTGTGTTGTATGTTCAGGGGTGTGTTGTATGTTTCCAGGGTGTGTTGTATGTTTCAGGGGGTGTGTTGTATGTTCAGGGGTATGTTGTATGTTTCCAAGGGGTGTGTTGTATGTTTCCAAGGGGTGTGTTGTTTATTTCCAGGTGTTGTTTATTTCCGGGGGGTGTTGTTTATTTCCAGGTGTTGTTTATTTCCAGGGGTTTGTGAAGGTGAAAGTTTGTTGATGTGATGTTGGGGTCCAGTTTATAATGCTATTTAATGGTCGTTTGTTGATGTTAATTGTAGTTTGAAAGTTTACTTATTTTGGGTACATTTAGGTTATGTTTATTATAGTGTTGCTGTTGTTGTTTTTGTTTTGGGTGTTATTGTTATTATTATTATTATTATTATTATTATTATTATCGTTGCTATTATTATTATTTTTGAAGTTGTTGTTAATGTTTTTTTTGGAATTGTTATTATTAGTGTTGTTGTTTTGGTATTATTATTATTATTATTATTATTATTATTATTATTATTATTATTATTACTATTATTATTGAAGTTATTATTGTTGTTGTTTTTGGTAATATCATTATTGTTGTCATGTCCTACCTGTAATTTATAACATGTCATTTCTTACTTCCGGTAAGTTCGTGCCGGGGGGCGAGAGAGACTGGGTGTGTCAAGGTAACCAAGAACTACTTTACGAAATTTTAACCAAGAACTACTTTACGAAATTTTAGGTTACACCACACTCATAAAAAAAAAAAGTGCGTAGTAGTAGTAATAAGTAGGAATAATAATACCGGTAGTTTTATTCTGCATGACCCCTGAGGCCCTGCCCTCCCTCCCTGCCTGCAGCCAAGCCTCCTATGATCGCCGACCTATCCTAAGCAAGGCCCAACCATCCATCGACCTATCTCCTTGTTATCTCAAGGTGGACCTTAACACTCCCTTAACCCTAGCTCGACAAGGTCCAAAATCGCCCTCAATCCCTCCCTGGTGTGTAGGTCGAGCCATCTGCCATCCCCTATTAAGTTCCCTATTTCCCGAAAGCCTATTTCAAATCTCCCCTCCACCACCCATCCACCCACCCTCCCTCCCTCCCTCCCTCCCACCTTTCTCTCCTCCTCTCCTCCCTCCCTCCTCCCTCCTCCCTCCCTCCCTCCCTCCCTTCCCTTTACTCCCTTACACCCCTACTCTTTCCTTCCCCATCCATCCTTGTTTCCCTCCCTCCCCCCCCTCCCCTTCCTATTTTTTCTTCTCTCAGGTAAATCGCTCTACCCGCTTCTTATACTTAAATACGCCACAAGGAGATATTCCTTTATATATACCCCTTAAATAGACTCACAGTATATTTCCGTGCAGCAAAGAGACGACTTATATAATTATACGCCACAATAAGGAAAGACTCACTTATATACGCCACAGCAAGGGGAGACACTTTTATGCGCCACAATAAGGAAAGGCTCACTTATATACGCCACAGCAAGGGGAGACACTTTTATACTCCACAATAAGGAAAGACTCACTTATATACGCCACAAGGAGAGACTCACTTATAAACACCACAACAAGGAGACTCATTTATATACACCACAAGGAGAGACTCACTTATAAACACCACAACAAGGAGACTCACTTATAAACACCACAACAAGGAGACTCATTTATATACACCACAAGGAGAGACTCACTTATATACACCACAAGGAGAGACTCACTTATAAACACCACAACAAGGAGACTCACCTAACGAAGAGACTCTTTTACAACCATTTACTGAGTAGACTCTCTCCACTAAGGTCTGTATAATTATATTGTAAGGATCACCGCTGTTGTGTGAGGTCGGTGTTGGACAGATTACTTGGTAGGGTTATCATTGATGACAGGTTGGACGCTTGGCTTTGAGTGTGGAGTAAGTGGGTCTGGTTCTGAGAGGCTCCAATATGACCTAACCACTGATATTTGGGATGCGGTCCTATTGGGTCCCAGTCGTAATGGGTTTTAGTCTTATTGGTTAGGTTTGGTATTGTGATTGTAGAAATAGGTACACATAGTTACTCCTATTCTCAACACACACACACACACACACACACACACACACATATACAGATCTTACCCAAGTCTTCTTACACCTTGTAAACAAAAACAGCTGAGATTTTATGAAACTATTAAGATAAAATGAGGATTCAGCTCACGCGTGGCACTCCACAGGTAAGCAAGAACTTCCTGTCTCTCTCTCTCTCCTCTGTAAAACAATGAACGAGACTAAAGTCGCTCGTTTAGTTCGAGTTTTACAAAGCTGCGCCATAAAACCCGGCGGCTGTCGTGTGTAAGGGCGTAATCTCAGGATATCACGCCAGGAACACGACTCTACTCTTTGTAATGGGGAAATAATTTGTTTAGTTTCTTTTTTCCTTCTGGTTTATACATAGGGGTTGGATAGTGACCGTACTGGTGTATAGTGTCGTGGCTTAGAGTGTGAATATGTCCGGCATATTGGTGTTAATGTCCGGTATATTGGTGTTAATGTCCGGTATGCTCGTGTTAAAGTGTCCAGTATATTGGTGTTAAAGTCCGTTATATTGGTGTTAAGGTCCGGTTTGCTGGTATTAATGTCCGGTATATTGGTGTTAAAGTCCGGTATATTGGTGTTAAGGTCCGGTTTGCTGGTATTAATGTCCGGTATGCTGGTATTAATGTCCGGTATGCTGGTGTTAAAATATCCAGTAAACTAAAGTTAATGTCCGGTATCCTTATTTTAATGACTGGTAATGTGAGGAAGAGGAAGGGGGAAGAAACAAGAGGAGAGAAAGAAGAGATAGATGAAGAAGGAAGAGAATGAAGAGACAGAAGAATGAAGAAGACAAAGAGTAGTGAACAAATCTCAGTCACCTGTTTGTTGATCTCTCGTCGGACTTTTTCCAGTTCGCAAAAGTGAGTCTGTCAGAATACGGATCCTTGACCTTCCAGAGGCTTTTGAAGGTCGAATTTGATAGAAATCCATCATTTTCATGGTATGTTTTTTACACGCGCCTCTGTGTGTGTGTGTGTGTGTGTGTGTGTGTGTGTGTGTGTCATTTTTATCGTATCTTTTAGTTATTACTTATTATTTTTATCGATCTATATTTTATTCTTTTTTATCAGTTTATTGCAAGGTTGGCATCGATTTTTTTCGATTTTTTCATCAGAAGTTAACGAAATATAAATTTTAAGGTTTATAAAAGAAAATCCTTGTGTAATTTTGTGCTGGGATTTAAAAGTCTTGTCATAATAATATAAGTTTATTATGATTTTTCTGTGTAATATATTAAGCTTTGGAATGTGTTAACTTTAGGAACACTGACAACTCAGTCTGGAGTGTCTGAACCACCAGTGGACAGACAGGACACGAACAGTATTCAGTATACTGTACTGTAGTAGAAACAAAATAATGAAAAATATATAAATAAAAAATCGAATTAATCAAAATTATCTAAGATTTGTTTTTATTTGAACAAAATAAATAAATCGCCAACTCTGGTTTATTGTTTATCTTCATTCTTCACTCCCTTACCTCCCCCTTCCTCCCATGAATCCCGCATCTATCTCACTCTCTTTGCCTGTTCCCAGCGCCTCCCGTCCCCTCCCTTCCCCTCGCTTTTCTCCCCTCTCCCCTACCCTACCTCATACATCTCATTTTTCTCCCTCTCTCCCTTTTCCCCCTCCTCCTACCCCTACCTCTTTCCTCATCCCCCTTCTAACCAAAATTTTCCCTCCCTCTCCTCTCCACATCACCACCTCCCTCTCCCCACCCTTTCTCCCTCCCTTCCATCTCCCTTCCTTATCCCATCTCTCCTCCCTACCCTCCCCCCTCACTACATCTCTACCCTCCCCTCTCTCTCCACATCTCCACCACTTCCCCTCTCTCCCCATCTCCACCACTTCCCTCTCTCCCACCCTTTCTCCCTCCTCCTTTCTCCCTTCCCTTCCCTATCCTATCTCTCCTCCCTTACCCTCCCCCCTCACTACATCTCTACCCCTCCCCCCTCTCCCCTCTCCACTTTCACCGTGAACGCAGGTCGCCAGCCAAGAATTTGATTACAAAGAGTTGAATACGAATTGGATTTGATTTTTTCCCTAAACCAAAAGTTTGCAGTCCCAAAATTTCTATGAATATTTGATTTCCGAGGCAAGAAAAATTCCTTATTCCCGTCAGAGGTCTTTCTTCCAGAGGGTAATTTCCTATTGGAATGAAGAGGACCCTGGGATGTTAGAGAGAGAGAGAGAGAGAAACTTTGTATTAAGGTAATAATTTAAAGGTTAAACTTGGCATGGCATGATACAATGTTTTGGGTCTTCAGGTTCACATTTGACCCTGCATCATGGGGACTAGTTTATTGAGCACCTTCTTTACATCCTGTGTAGGGCAGAAGTATTACAGCGTCCAACAGGGAAACAGCGAGTTGATGCTTGCCTTCTTAGCCTTATATGATTGGGGGGGGGGGGGTGTTCATTTGACCCCCTTAAGGTATCATCCTTGTAATTGAGATAAGGTTAGGTCAGGTCAGGTCAGGTCAGGTCTCTCCCTCTCTCTCGTGCTCTCGTAAATTTTCCTCCCTAACTTTCTCGCCCACTGTCTCACTTTCGTCATTCTTCCTTTCCGCCCATCCGCCTGAATGTCTCACCGCTGATGCAAATGGTTCTTCCTCATCTTTCACGTTACCCGAGTTTTTAAGAGTTCGCAACTTCCTTCCTTTCTCTCCTTCCTCCCTTTCCTCCCTTTCCTTCCGTCCTCCCTTTCCTTCCGTCCTCCCTTTCCTTCCGTCCTCCCTTTCCTTCCGTCCTCCCTTTCCTTCCTCCCTTTCCTTCCTTCCTTGTTTCTTTTCCTATAACTTATTTCCTGCTTACCAATCTACTTCCTTATTATTTTATTTACTAATTTATTTCACCCTACTTCTATCCTTCATTATCTCCTTCTTTTCTTCCTTTCTATCCTACTTTATTCCTTACTTCTTTCCTTCTCATTTCTTTCTTAATTCCTTTCACATTCCTCTTCTCCCTGTTTAGCATACCTTCCCCTTTCTTCCTTCCTTCCTTCCTTCCTTCTATCTGACCTTTAACCTTCAGCTGTGCCCTTGACCTTTGCTATACAATCCTGACCTGACCTGACGTGACCAAACTGGGGCAAAACTCGACGGCGATTAAATCATTTCATAATTATTAATTTGTTTTCATAAAATTTTTGGCAACGTTTACGCAACCCATATCCCGCCTATCCTGATCTAACTGGTAAAGAATTTCGCCAGGGAGATTTTTTGTTTAAGTGTGTGAGCTAACGCAGCTTAAGACCAATTCTTATTACACCTGTTATTTACCTTTTGATAGTATTCACCTGGGTCATACCTGCTGTTAATACATCTCAGGAAAATTAGCTAGAATGTAACAATTAAATTTTAAGTAGTGGAGTCGAGAGTGAACACGTGAGACTGAAATTTTAATATTTTAATTTTGTAATTTTTACGTTGCTGAGGTACTCCTTCCTTCCGTCTCCCTTACTTTATTATCGCATTTTATTTTACTTACTGTATTACGTGCTGCTTTGTTATCAGTAAAGCCAGAAAAATAAAATTTATATAAAAATTATACTCTTGAGGAACATATTATTTGGTCCACTTGTCGTATGAACATTACAAAGGAAGATTAACGTGACTTACCCTCAGGTTCATAGAAGGTGTTGATAATTACCGCAGTCTTGATCTTTTAAGGAACTGGATATTTGCTTCACTTGTATAAACATCTGAGCTGAAAGGTTAAGGTCACTCGCTCAAAGATAATGTTGTATAATTGCACAGTACAGAGAGGTCAAAGGTGAAAGTCATGTTTTGTTTTCTCACTTTAATATTATATTGTTTATGTGTGATAATTTAACACTAGGGAATACGGTAGTGTTCGTCAGGCGGCCCTGTGGTGACGACGACCGGAATAATGTTGAGGTCGGGAACACTGAATCAGGCGTATCTCTCCAGTGTGTCGTAAAATGGGTGAATCTTCGTCGCTTTATTCCCCAGTTGTTGAAGAGAGAAAGAGAGAGAGAGAGACTGATTGATAAAAGGGCACCACGATCTGGGAATGAGTTGCGCCATCAGTAAATTAACTTGTGTGTATGTATGTATGTATGTATATGTATTAAAACAAAACAAGTGTAACAAAAAACCCTTTTCTTTATTTAGGTGAAATAAACCATTACTTTCTACCCAGTAAATATACGTCCATTAAACCCTGCCCTAAGTTGATAATAAATTATGTCCCACTGAATTTGAAAATACCGGAGAATCTTTTTTATTTTGGCCACGAGGAATGAGATAGTGTCCCCCCCCCCCTCCACACACACACACTCACACACACACGCTTACATATACACCCACATGCAGACAGGTCGACAGACAGACATACACACATGCGTAAACATATAAATACCGTCCCACACACACACACACACACACATAAAAGTAAGGGACTGGAGGCAGCATTTAATTGCCCTAATGAAAGGCTGCTACTCTACTCCTGATTCAGTTAGCTGATGGTGTTTGTAGTAATTGCTCGGAAAATTAATTTATGATGGCGGTGCCTTAATTTAATTAATATTTTTTTATTAATTGCAAAAGAAATTATTAGTATAGTTTAAGATTCTTGAAGTAATTGCAGAGGGAAGACCAAAGTATTGTAAGTTGGTTATTTATTTAGTAATTGCAAGGAAAGGTAATAATTGTCGGTGATTTCTTAATTTAACGGATCATTTCTAAAACAGATGCAAATGAAGTTAAATTTTGTTGGTCTGTGTTTCATTTACTTGGTTAGGTTAGGTTAGGTTAGTGACGCTTGCGAAGAAATAGTAAATTGTTTATGAATTTAACTGGCAATGGTGATGGGGAGAGTTGGCGATAGGAATAAGCAACATCCGCATTGTTTCTTCACCTCATTCCAGGTCATATTAAAGGGAATTTACCGTGTTTTAATGACTCTAATAGCGATCGTCTCTTCCAGTTGGTTGCGTCTCTTTTGTATCTCACACAGTTAATATTTGACAAACAGTTGATGATATAAATTATAGAGAAAAATGACGACGGCGCTGATTTGAAAATGGGGAGAAAGTGAAAGAAAGTTAATCTCCTTTCGTTTACTTTCTCTTCTCTTCTTGATATTTTTATCCGGGGGGGGGTGGGGGGGGGTAAGCTGGATGTTGGTTTTATATTTCTGTGTCTTTTAATTTGTTATTATTATTGAGGTAATAATAACGTCAATATTAGGTGTGTCATCCTAGGGAGGTGTCCGAAAAATTCAAAATGACAGAAAATATATAGAAAATATCCCATTTCATCACCATTATACTCTTTTAAGGGATATATAAAAGGTAGTTGGCTTGTTCTCTCTCATATATACATGCGTACATACATACATACATGAATACATAAATACGCATATACATATACACATTTCCACATGCTTGGTCGGGCAGTCACAATGTTATAATGTCATTTCAACTGTTGTGCTTTGCAAACATTTCCGAATTATCATAATATATCTCCGACAATGAACAATTTAACTGAATTATTTGACTGAAATGAATGTGGTTTATCATAGTGGTGAAATATATCAATATACATATATATTTAAAGCATGTATCTGTAGCCTATATGTGTACCGTATGTAAATTATAATAGTAT